AAATTTGCTCCTGAGAGAACATCACGCAGACAGCGGAAAACGGTCTCTATTGGCGCGAACATCATCAGTTCAGAAGCAGGTGTAGGCCCTGTCGCCTTGCTGCTGCTGTGGCTGCTGTTTGCGTTGCTGCTATGCATGTCTCCGTTCCTGCTGTTTATTGCAGGTGCGACTGGACGTGTTCTTGTTTGTGCTGTTGCTCTCGCTGCTGTGAATACCACTCAACCGTGCATGCTCCTGAACCTGCTTTGTAGAGGCAGTTTGCGCATAAGTAAGAGTGTCTGGACTCGGAAATTGTGCATAAATGGAATCACCATTCGGTAATACCAATTCCACTTGGCAACCTGTTCCACTGCGTAGCTTCCACTCGAAACCGGCATTTTCCAGTCTGTTGGGACCCGCGGCTCCTTGAACACAAACAAAATGACGCAGCACAGAAAGCCAAGTGGAAAACAAACACCCGATGCATGCACGAGACACCTCATCATGAGTCATCTTTCTGTTAAGCCATAACGCCACCCCTGTCTACCGTGGAGCACTCCATCCCGCGCGTGCAGTCCCCAGCTCAGTCATCAACACATGCCAACATGAAGTATCCCTGATTCAAGGCATTCGCATGTGGCGGTACCTCTCTAGGACAACTGCGCGATGTACATNCATGAAGTATCCCTGATTCAAGGCATTCGCATGTGGCGGTACCTCTCTAGGACAACTGCGCGATGTACATTACAAGTAACCAGCAAGCGAAGCAGTGATGCGTGCATGTAGTGAGTGGCCCATGCTTACATCTGCGACTTCAGCACTTGCGTCACCGGCTTCCTGAGGGGCCGACGGTTCTGTTTCATCCGTCTTCTTAATGACCTTCCTCGCCTGTGCCCCGGCTGCCAATCCCATTTTGACGAGATCTACTCCTCCGTCAAAAGTTGCGTATTCCTTTGCAGGTACCTTAGGCGGCTCAAGAAGCGCTGCATAAGGGTCGAGGTCTAGCAGCTTCGCTTCCGCATCGAGCTGCATGGCCTCAGCAGCTCGCTCTCCTCCGCGCATTACCGGATCTCTACCTACGTGCACAACCAGCACTGCAGGTTGAGTATAGATTAACTCTGCTAGCAATCAATTCACGTGAAGGCAAATACCTTGGCAGGAGGTTATCGGGCTCGTCAGATGGTTAAGCCATACCTGCCGGTACACCCGCTTCGTATTTCTGTCTTGCGTAGTTCATGTCGAAACCTTCAGGCAAACCATCTGCCTTAACGTTAGGACGAGCAGACGCCCCGGAGTCGATGAAATCTGTTGCACCAAATTGCCTGACACGGTCCATACCTGTTCACAAGCCACCCCTCAAAGCAGGAATCGCAGCATTCCTTCAACAAAACAATGCTTAAGACTAGGTAGTCTGTGCAAAGGCAGCCAGCAGGAATAATATTTAATCGTGACATCACCTCCTCCATCGACATATTCCCGTTCCCCTGTAGTCGCATTGAAACGATAAGCGCCCTGCAGCCGGGCATCTGCGAGTCTGCCTGCAATGCATGCAGACAAGAAGCCACATGAGCTACAGTGGTTGATTCCCCCAATCAACCAAACAATTGATCAATCAATCATCCGGTCACCCAACTGGCACAAGCGCATGCAGGGGAGCAAGGCAAGAGAGCTCCCAAAGGAAGCGCTACGAAACNAACTTGTTGCGTGGCGTAAGGAAGGATGGAGTGAAAGCGTCTAGAGCTGCCTTACCTTGATTTACTGGAACGGGGCCCACGGGGGCTATCTGCTGAATGGCGCCCAGCGCCATATTCCCGTAAGGCTGCAAAGAGACGCAAGACAAAGAGTTCAAGGGGAATAATGCATCTCCATAAGTGTTTGGAAAAGGAAGTAGCGGTAGATATGCGAAACACTCAAAGGGATAATTTAGGGGAACAGAAAAGCATCCTCACTTGTCCTCCTGTGGTGGTAACTGCGTAGCTGTACTCATTTACACCAGTGAGCGGGTTGTACACCATTCCTTCGGGGGCCGGCTACAGCAAAAAGCAAGCGACACGATAACAGGTGACCTGATGATCAAAGGCAGATTCTCCTTAGTGCTTCAAGCAACCATACGGTGCCTATTCAGCTGCCATGGAGACATACTCAGAGCTTCTACTTACGGGCGGGCCAGAAGTTGCGTTTTTGGCGGAGTTCCAATCCCTGTTGGCCTGGTCATAATCAATATCCAGCATCATTCCGTGTTCTTTGGAAGTCACGAATGCCCTATCTTCAGTTGTTTCCGCTGATACGCCAGGAAGCCGTTCGCTAGCTCTATTTTCTATTTCGGGTAACTTTTCACGGGCAGCCTGCTTGCTGCAACCGCTGCCGCTGCTGGCGCCTCTGTTGCCTTTGCTACTGCGTTGTAGTGCTTGCGATTTGGTAGAAACACGTGAGGAATTTGCATCGCCCCTTGCGGGGCCTGCGTATGAAGAAGCTGTCGCATTAGCTGAACCATTTGTTCCCTTTGAGGAAAACAGAGTGGCAGTGGCATGACGTATGTTTCCTGAGAGCAATGAGCTTCTTGCCCGCTGCAGGGATGAGGCGTACGCCTGCTGCATACGTGTAGATATTCCTCCCTTTGGTCCCCCCNTCTTGCCCGCTGCAGGGATGAGGCGTACGCCTGCTGCATACGTGTAGATATTCCTCCCTTTGGTCCCCCCGCTGCCATCGACGACAGCACTTCGTTTCCTTGTTCTGTAGCTCCAGGATGAAGCTCGTTTGAACGCGCCTCCCGATTGGTTGGTTCGTCCACACCAGCTAAGTCTTTCTGTTTGTCTTTTTCTCTATATTGCATCTGAATACTGTCTGCAGTTGCTGTGGCTTCTGCTGGCGCAAGGGATTCAATAAGCGCAGCAATGGACTCGCAGCTGCTGGCCCCTCTGCTGGCGTCACCGTTGGCATTGTTCATGCTGCTCCGAACGCGCCTTTTAAGACTATTAAGAGGGGGGTAAACCAGCAAGGGGAGCTCCTGCTCAGGCTGGCGGGCCGCTGACGGTTCACAGACGTCACTATCAGGCAATGAGTCGAGAGTCCCCCTATCGCTCACGAAAGACCGGGACCGTTGAACTTCCAAGTCAACATTCTCTTCTGGTGATCCCATCAAGCTTCGGCTTCGATCGGCGAGCTGCACTGTTGACGGCGAATGATTCTTAGCGTTAGCCATGGACTGATGGAAGTCCTCAGCCTCTTCCCCCTGGTGCTGTAGAGGCTTCCTCTCCACCGAGTCGCCCATNTGGACTGATGGAAGTCCTCAGCCTCTTCCCCCTGGTGCTGTAGAGGCTTCCTCTCCACCGAGTCGCCCATCGCCACCGTAACGTAAGGCATTCTCCGCCGGCGTGCTGCCTCGAACTGCGTATTTTTGTGCTCTGTGGAGTATCCCGCTAGCCACTGAAATCCAGCCTCCTTTTCCTCCCGCCTGCTTGACTTGCTGAGCAAACGAAACGATGTTCGGTCGCTCCCGGCTGAGCCTGTTGATGCATCTGATGCATTTTCTTCCTTGATGCGACGGGCAGCCGTTTCAGCAGTTGCGATGCTGCTGCTTCTGCTGGGATGTTTGGTGCGATCTGTTGCACGGACATGCTTCTGGGGCCTTTCAACTGTATGATCGTTGAGTATTTCTTCTACAAGTTCACCTTCACTGCTTGATCTGCTGCTGCTGCTTTCTTTGCTACTGCTTCTGGAACTGCTGCTCGGAGAAACATAAGCCTCTGTTGGGGCCGAATCCGAGGATTCGTATTCAGATGCAGTGTCATATGAGCCATGGCTTGATGGGGGGGCGCTGTCGAAGCCCGTTCTGAAGAACCGCCACTGACTCTCTGTCGCCTGTCCCCCATTTTCGGCAGATGCCCCGATTTCAGTTGCCTCTGCGCTGGCCTGCTGGGCCTGGAGATTGGCCGCACGGGCTTCCATATGCTCGTACACCTTACGTCTCAGATCTTCCTTGAGAAGCAGCTGGGCGCGTTTCCTCTCATTCATTCCCTTATTCGAACTTACATGCCCAAGTGAGTCCCTTGGGCCGCCGCCGGAATTGTGGAGTAACTGTTGGCTGTTTGTCGACCGCACGGCGAACTGGCCTCCTTGGCTTTGCTTCTTATCCTGCTTCCGTTTCCTTACTGAGGCAAGCAAGCGCCGCCATGGAAGTACTGCACGGCGCTTCATCCGAGAAAGGTTGAAAGCCTTGGAAGAAGGAAATATATGCCATTGTGATGTGCGAATGCGTTCGTCCAGCTCCTTAGCAAGCTCCTGCGAGCATTGCGCTAGTCTGTGCATCAACTGGATGGAGGTATCTTCTCCTGCAACTTTCTCTACCGAAACCCCTCCTTTCGTTGGTTTTGCACTGGTTGGCTTGGTCGAGGAATCCATTGCCGGTGGAGCTGCGGAGGCGTCTGGGTTCCAGTGATTACTACTGCTCGCTGCAGCAGCAGCCGCTGCCATAGTGCCTGCAAAGAATGACCGGTTCTC